TAGGTTGTGATGGGCGAACCGTTGGCGGCACGAAGTTGCAGAGACATTGGCCGCAGACGCTCTTCCTTCGTAGGTGGGATGACGCTAGCTTCTGCCCCAGTGTCAACTAGGAAGCGTATCCCAGAATGTCGATCAGTGACGAAGAAGAGGCGACATGGAAGTGGCTCGCCACCATAACGTTTATGGTGCCAGCACAACCTGGGTTGGGATTGTAGCGATTTGGAACGTCTGCTACCGGTACGGGAGGCAGACCTGTTGGGCGAGCTAGATCTGCGACCGTTGGAAGCACTACCAGACCGCACTTCGTTCCTGATGCTGCACAACTCTTCATACAATTTCGAGATGTGAGCTATAACATCGAAACCTGTTGGCTCACCAGCCGAAGGAGGATGTGGGCTTTTGGACGAATCCGTGGCGGCAGGCAGAGCAGCTGAGATACTAGTGTTGGGTTTCATGGCATCCACAGCTCTGTCAGCCGATTTTGCCAGCTCTATTAGGGGACACTTATGGAAGGGTGCGAGGATCCCTTGAACCGACCGTGGTAACCTCTGTAACCACAGTTGCTTGAGAAATGCTTCATCAATGTTGAAGTCAGCAATCAGCTGCTTCATCTGACGAAGCAGTTGCGTCGGCTTGCGATCACCCAGATGCACATCCCTGAAAAGTTCTTGCACTTTCTGCTGGCCAGTAAGTGCAACACGTTTGATGAGGGCGGTTTTGAGGCGATCGTAAAGATTCGGTGCTGGGTCATCTAGCACATCTGAGACGTCTTCGATCACATTTTCAGGTAAGCTGACGATGACTAAGTTGGACTTAGTTTCTTGTGATTGAATGTGTCTCAAGGCAAACTGAGCTTCCACGTGGGAGAACCACGCAGATGGTCTGTGGGCCCAGAAGGTGGGAAGCTGGAGGGTTACGGCCATCTGCGCAGTCGAGTCGTTATCCGCCACTGATCAGGGAATTAAAGAGGCACGATAGTGATAATATAAAAAAATTACAATGCAAAAATAACCAATGAGGAGTGCAATAATAAAAAAAACGCTAGACCGTGCCAAAAACAAAAATAGGCCAGACAAATCAACGCAAGAGAACAAAGGTACCAGACGAAGCAAGAAGTGATAATCGGGCTCACCAATTTTGTAGGGATGCGTGTTACAATTCCGTAACGTTCGATCAACCCTACTTAATTTGATGTGCTCTGGTACCTGCTTAACCAGTACTTTACCTAACGTGTAAGTACTGATAACAAAACACAAATCAAAAGAACTGATACGCAATGTATTTAAAGAAGCTATGTATTTGAGGTAAATGTAATAATAATGAATGAGGGAAAAGTTTAATCAACTTATCTGGCTTGTAAGGCTGAACTAGGGACTTGGAGTACGTGCGTGGTGATCAGCACAATGGAGCGCAAAAATGGCGTCCAAGCCTGCTCGGATGCATGCTCGTTAAAACAAAACTTAAAACACTCTAAGCATCCGGAGGCAAGCTAGGGATTTACTTAGTTAATTTAATTTAAACTATTTATTTTAGGACTAGTTATGTTTTGGTGCCAGGAAGATGCACTACAACCTCAAGGACTACATAAATAGAATATCCAATACAGAACACGTCCTATCGATGGAACATCGGAATTAGCTCAAGGATTTTCAAAAAAAACAAAAAATTAGTCATGATACGTCGTGGCAAGCGTTCTGAAATAGTCATTCGGAACAAATCTGATAATCTAGGTAAGCTTCACTCATTCTGTGAGATGGAAACAAAGTTTTAAGACGGACAGTTCAGAAAGACCCTACCAGTGAGATGGAGCGTCAAGCGTCCAAGACAATGAACCCTATGAACAACTCCGTCCACTAAGTCCTTCTACCTCTGGACTGTATGGTCTACTGAAAGTGCACAAAGGCGTTTCCCTCCATCGGATACTAGACATGACCAATGCCCCTTGAAAAATGGCTCGTCAAGATACTTGATCCAGTTAAGAATGAAATTTTGAGGGAGAGTCTGCGTGACACATTTCACTCTGCTGATTTCATCAGAGATGTCAATCTGTCAGGGAAGAAGCTGATCCCTATTTACAAATGTCTGACTAACGGAAAACCACTTGTTTCCTGTTTAGCTTCAGTTAGTCCCATAAATTCAACAATGGTATCGCAAATCACTATCTAAAAGACCTTCTCAGATGTGCTTTCAACTTGCCCTTAAGATTCAACAACGAAAACTACAGACAGATAAACGGCGCGGCAATTTGATTACCTCTAGGGCCCCCCCACTAGCTGACTACTTTATGGCAAGCCTGGGAAAGACAACCTCATCAAAAATAATCAGCGAGGTTCATTTTTACAAAAGATACCTGTGTTATTTGTGACGGGAATATGGATCTCGAAAACTTGCTTCAACAGCGATCACCCCTTTATCAATGAAATCTACTCTAGAAGCCGAGTCGAACTTGAAATTTCACTTCCTTGTCTACCAACTTCAAAGAAAAATAGCAGTCCACTTCAGAGAGGTCACTTAGAGCGGGCAATTCATCAATTCTCTCCTTAAGAATATGCACGTAGGATACGATCCAGGGTGAAGTAGAAAACTTTCGAAAATCCTGATGAAAATGGACATTCACTGGAATTTATAGATAAGAATCTAAAGCCGAAAAACGTCACAGTACGTCCGCGTACTGCTCTGAAAAAGCTTTTACTAAAGATAATCCGGTAGATATACCTAGAAAGAAACTGTCAAGGCCTATAAACAACATTCTTTGCCACCGATCTTGGAATCACATTCTCCTATCAGAAAGTCATTCGTCAGCATGTAAAGGATGAGCCAGAGCATTTGGCCACATCAATGTATGTATATCAGTTTACTCGCTCTTGTGGAGACGAGTACAATGCACTTGCAAACAATATCCAACTTAGCTGGCAAGAGGAGAACGGAAATGCATTCTCAGCGCTGTAACAGAACACATGGTAAACTCAGGACGCTCAACTCCTTTCTGATAAATCCTTTGAAATTCTGTACAGAGTGCGACTAAGCCACTCGAAAGGAGTGAGGTTAAGACATCTAAGCGTAGCTGAAGGATTACCGACTCAAAAATTCAAATCATCATTATTCGTTTAAATCAAAGTATGTACATCTCTTCCTTCACAGTGACCATCGTAGATTATCGATCACTGCAAGTGACGTAACTACCCTTAGGACTACTTTGTTTATCACCCCCCCCATTACATAACTTTCCACCGTGACGTAATTTGTATTGGCCTTTGGCCAGGAATTACTCTGGGATGTTTTATTCTTATCATCATATGTTCACGAATGTAAAGCTTAGGGAATGATCTCGTTGAAAACTTTTTTTCTCCGCCGAAATTGTGCTTACCTCGTAGACTGAAAACCTCTTTCAAACTGGGGTGGGGATTGCTAGAACTGAAGCCCTAGCAATTCACAGCTTCAAACTCCAATTGTGTATTCAAAAGAAACACTTACAAACACTACGTTGACTGTGGCCTTCAACAGACACTTCGGACCCGTGTTTATGTTACATTTTGTACTTTATTTACCCATTAATTTATTTACCTTTTCTTCGAACAGCAAACAAGAGAAAACCAGACAGGTTTTAGACATGATCGAGGGTGCATCGACCACATCTTTACCCTCTGACAGGCTCTGGAATACAGGCATACCTACCGGCCAGTGACCGACACTTGCTACATTTCTTGACCAGAAGACGACATTTGACTCTGTCGACCACGAGGTGTTGTGGCAGTGTCTAAATGTGAACGGAATATCCAGCAAGTATATAATGCTAATCAAAGCTTTCTAATCGAACACACGTAGCTGTCAGTGCTTATAGAGAGTTACCACCATAACTGACGACAACACCTTTCACCGTCCTTATTCACTTTTATCATGGATGTACTAATGAGCAAAACCTCAAGCACATCTGACTTCAGAGGGACTCACCTACTCACTGGGGGGGGTCACCTAGTTGGTTTGGAATATGCAGACTTTATTGTCCCGCTAGGTGAAGACGCTGACAAAAAGGAGGGTCTTGTGAACGCATGGAGCATGTATAGAATGCGTTTCGCTTTCACCTGTCCAATGTAAGATTATGATCCAGGACTAACCTGCTGAAAGTACTCCAAGCTTAATGGTCGAGAATGAATTGGTGGAATGTGTCGACCATTCCACTTACTTGTGGAATTGCATCAGCCCGCCAAACGAGCTGGTTGCTAACGAAATCTCAGCTCGGATACAGAAGGCCCGTTTGGTACTGGCCAAATTATGTCGTCGGTGGCGACGGTGAGATATCCAGCTACCTATCAAAGGAAAATTATGATGCGTTGCAGTCCGTTCTGTCCCATAACGCGGCTGAGACAAGGCCGTTGACTATAGGAGACATGAAACAGTTACAGTTTTTCGACCATAGGTATCTTTGTAGCATCGCTCATGTGTGGTGGAATCACCAGGTGAACAATGTTCAGGTCAGTCAGGTGTAGGGTACTAGACAAGCAAGGAAAGTCGCTTGATGATTTTGTGAATCTAAGTCGACTGAGATGGCTTGGACATGTAAGGTGCATGCTCAGCCAACCCCTACCTCGACGTACCATGCTTGGGAAAGTTGGATTAGGATAGGAAAAGGCAGAGTGGACAGCCTAAGACCTGGCACCAGTCGATGAACTTCCTGTCTGTTGGCTTGAACCGTGTGCGGAGATGTAGACTGCTCGGTTGTGGTACCTAACACGAAAGAAAACAGTGGTTGACAACTCACAGTGACCTGGTTGAAAATCGATGACAACGGCGCAGATATATTCACTCCTTGTATTAACCATGATCTTCAAACTGTTCACTCTCTCAGACAACTTCGTCTACTTTGATATCACTCCTTTTCTATCCACCTGTTTTTTGTGCACTTCTATGAAGTGAAGCAACTTGAGCCGATGTACAAGGTTCTACGTTGATTTTGTCAATCGGGATATCATTCAAGAGTCACTCAACATATCAGATAGAAATCAAGAAAAAAAACGGTTTACTTTGTGATTAATTTTGGTAATATTGTAAAGTAATGAAACACATACCGATCGTTGTTTTGACCGAAGAAAAAAGTAATGTGAGTATATTCAGCAAGTTATAGAAAGTTAGTTAGCCAGACTGATGAGTACTGAAAGTTGGAAGATACCTAAAATCGAATGATGCAACACTTTAGAGTGCAGAGAAAGTGAGGAAGTCAACAATAACAACGACAACAACAAGAAAACAGAAAGAAAAACCAAAGTTATTTTTATTCATTCAACCAAAAGGGATTGGATAAACCACCAGGAGGTTGAGCTGTCTTCACTGATGTGTGTACTATCCTCTGACCGGGTGGTAAAGCCACTAGATATAAAAACAAATTATTAAAGAAATTTGGTTAGTTTTCAAATTATTATAAGTGTAAAAGTGAAACATGAAGCGACACGCTTGAAAGTGATCATCAATACGTCACTCACTAACTGAAACACACAAGGACTATACTCTCATTGGACTCAACCTACTGCATGTATTTGTCACCATCCAATAGTAGATATTTGCTCCTATACCTTAGTGTTGTAGTGTAATACTCTCACTAAAAGTTGTTGACATTGTTTCATTCACTTGAACAGTTTTTATCAGAGGTGAATTTGGATTTATGGAACTCAGACAACAGTATTGTTCAAAACAACCAAATTTTGATCACTTAGTTCAGTGGACTAAGTCATACTCAGAACCAAATGAGTGAAACATATAACATTGATCTGGTTAAGGAGTATTTCTGATCAGTAGTCTATTGTGTGTAGTCTTTTTCCATGTTACCTTGATGCCATTTATGAAGTTGAGTACATCAAATTATGCCATCTGAAACTTCAAATCATCCAGTCTGTGCTTCGTAAATCTCTGGCTGAATTTTACGCAACTAATAAAAAGAAGATGATGATGAGTAAGACCGTTGGCGAGATAGTTATCCGGCTGTAAGGGTTAGATGAAATTGTTTTGATGAACAAATATTAGTTGCCTGACATTTGGGTCATAAGTCTGAGTGAGATGCAAGTCTTTAAACTCTCAACTTCATTGAGAGTTTCATTTCAAACTTGAAGCAGATTAAAGCAGCCAAACTTAACAGTTTGTTCTCAAACATCTTTAGAAATATACTAAGTAACGTAGGATAATCACATTGGTCACTAAGCACTGAAGGTTATAAAAAGGGAGGGAAATAGAGTCGACTAAAATAAAACCGCAGGTATTAGAGTTCACAGTCATCAAACAGTTATTGACTAGAGATCAAAAACAACCCGACTAAATTAGTTAACATTCAAATCCGAATCCAGGTGTATTTCACTACATATTCACCCTTTGATAGGTTTCTAAACAGAAGCATTTTTAACAGCAGATGCTACTTTACACAACCTCACCTCTGGTTTAAAAAAATTATTCAACTCCGTTGACCGACTTGTTCTGATAATAGCTGATAGTAATCTTACTGTTAATCAAGAGAACAAACGCGCAATACCCTGCGAAGGTCATATTAATCATCCATCCAGATCAACTTAGGACCAGGCATTACTGCTTAACGGTCCAAGTTGCCACACCTTATTTCAGTAAGGACATCAAGCAAAAAGGCAGTGAGGAGCAAGATGAAGATAACAGAATCCACTCAAAAGAAATATAAAATATGGAAAGAGAGAAACGAAACGGTCTCCAAACACTGGTTTCTCTTGTCCCACCGACCCCAACCACCTAGTCTGCATCTCCCCACTCACATGGCTCAAACTAACAGTCAGAAACTTCATACATTGGTGCCATGTTTTAGTCTGGCCGCCTCCAGCCTTTTTCCAGCCTGGACCTACTTCAGCCAACATTGTGTGATGAGGCAATCGGCGACTACGTATATGTAACACGTGTTCCAACCATCTCAGCTGATGAAGGTTCACAACCTCGTCTACTGATTTACCTCTACTCCCTACAACTATACACCTGACTCGTGCATTACTCACTCACATGGTGACACCACGGAATACAGCCTATACTACGAAGACAATGGTGGTCAAACACTTGAAGCCAGCCTTCTCATGTCTTCCACCTTTAATGGCCATGTTTCACAGCCATACAGTAGAACAGACCGGACTGGTGTGCAGTATACGCAACCCTTAGTAGACAATCGGGTATTGTGACGGCGCCATAGGTGGCGTAAGTTGGCAAAAGCCAACCGAGCCTTTTGTATCCGTGTCTATATTCTCTTGAATTATCATATTTCACAGATGTAGGGCATATATTAACATCTCCCGGTCATATTAATATACACGCTACATCTGTGAAATATGATAACTCAAGAGAATATACATAAAGAGACTATAGACATTTGTCTTTGCAGCATTTCTTTTAAGTACCTGAACTACAATGTCAGTACTCTTGAAGTTAAGTGTAGATAATTTCACAAGAAAACTAAGTTAATCAGTATTAACAAGCATTAAATAAGTTCACAAAAACCTTTAACCTACACATGTTAAGCAACAAAATAAACTTCTGACCTTAACAAGAACTGTTTAACAATAGAGTAGCAGCATACCGCCCGATTCCCTACATTTATGTTAATCTTACTGACGCTTCAAAGTTAATTAACGTCGCTCTCCTCATGACAGCAACAACTTAGGCAACTACAGATATCTCAGTTTCCCAAGAGCAAATTGAAGCGATACCTCTCAACTCTTGTTGGTTACATATTATAAGAGAAAGTAAACTAAACAGCGAAAAATAAACCAGATTAACATTCACCAGAAGATATAACTAACCTTTAGGCATATTATCATAATACTCCTTTCGAAAATAATAACCTTCTTTAGGCTGATCATTAGACGAAGCGCTCTCAGAAGCATTCATGATCACATCTTCTACATAGGGTTCACGTGGTAGCGGCATGAATTCGGAGTTTACATTTTCTTCAACAGCATTCACACGACCGTATACATAATGAGAAAATGGTTGAGAGGTTACCAAGTTTCCACAACAAATATCATCTAGAAGTTCATTATTTTCAACCACAATATGACCATGCAGTATCACCATTTCTGGACCTGATTGACAAATGTTCACAGCATCAGAAAATATATTGGTTACATTGTTAGGGAAAATGTATTTAAGATTTTCATGTTTAAAGGATTTCGACCAAATAATTATATCAGCATCGGAACCAACTTGAATTCTGCCTTTCCGAGGATAAAGATTCATCAGTCGAGCAGGATTAGTACTGGTCACTTTGACAAATGTGAAAGGATCTAAGGATCCACTCTCCACTCCATACTGCCATAGAAAGATCATTCTACAACCTAAAGCTGCAATACCTCGAGGTATGTGTAGAGCGTTCTTTAAGCCGAAAGCTGCACGCACTGCAGTAGTTATAGCTCGATGACCTGAACCAACACATGCTAAGTCCTCAGAGATGAGATGAGTTAGCAATCTTTCACTTAAATGAACGTTCGGTCGTAAAGGTGGACAGCTCACATAACTAGCTGCAGTAGCCCAATCCTTCGATTGAGTAAACACATCTTTCGAATAGTCATTGGAACTCCTCAAAGAAAGTGGAGCAACTATTGCAGATACACTGGTTTGTCCGAATAGCAAACCTCTACACATTCGGCGTTGTTCAATGAAATGATTTAAAGCTGCTTCACTGTGGATTCTAGAAATTAAAAGTGGACAACAAAATCCTGCATATTGTGAAAACAATGAACCTTGCAACACTGTATTTGCTTCAGACTCCTCTGGAGAACTCATGAAATGCACTTCTGGACCTATATTTGGACAATTTTTCTGCAAATCACATGATAGTTTATGAGATAGTGAGATTGAAGTAGCCGCCTCAAGCATTGGTAACACACCTAACTGTCGACACACTTTTAAAAAGCAATAAAATTCCTCTTCGTTAATGCATTGTTCATCATCTTTGATAGATAGAAATGTTGAACCTAAACGGATAGAAAATAGTACCACTCCTTTATCTTGAACTAAAGTAATAAGTTGTTTTTCAATTTCCGGTGAGAAATAAGTCAACCGAACACAAACACTATAGTCACAACCTATATTTCCTTGAATTGACGATACAAATCGGTCATAAGCAGTTACTAATGAACCATCAGGAAAGGCATTAACTGTGTTCACTGGAAAAGAAGAAGAAGAAGAAGAAGAAATTAGAAAGTAAGCTGTACAAAACAATGATAACAGTGTATACAAAACGTAACAAACAACATTGAGGGAATGATTTAACAAAACAATTGCTCCTCATAATGGAGCTATGGCCTCATTCAAACCAACGAGCTATGGACTCAAACATTGCTACACCTACCAAGGTTCTACATCGTGAAATCTCTAATCACCAGTTGGCTGTTGACTTATATCCAACCATTGTGTTCATTCTATATGATAACGGTTGTACTTTAAAACTTCTGTGAACTCAAAATTTCCATTTAGGATATTTTAATATGTCCATATTTCCAACTTCTGTCAGTTCACGATAGAGAGAGACCGCCAACCAATACGATCGTTGAGTATTTGTCCTCATAGCCACCAGGTTTGCCCCACTGGCCATGACTTCTCATTGGAACTTCGGGAAACATCTCTCGAAGCTAGTCCACCAGTGAGCACTAGTTCAGCTGGATTGAAAAAAATCTCTGAATCCCCAAATTTAATTCATTTGCACTAATGCGACCAATTTTTTTAGCTATGTCACCAAGGGGCTTATATCAATCACTGATTCCTTGGGTCTCAATGACCTCAGTCAGATAGTCTACATCTCCCTACACAGCTCAGACCAACATTCAGGGACTTTATCCACTGGTGCTACGTCTTGATCTCGCCACCTTGAACCCTCATCCAATCAATTTCCCCAAGCGGCGGATCAGAATGCCAAGAAGTCGTAGCTAACCAAGAAACGCTAAATATGTATATAACTGTCCGTCATTTAGTAGGTTTTTTCCTTCTGACTTAACAACATTAACAGGCTAAAAAGAAAGAGAAAAAGCCCAGTACAACCCCCAAAAAGGACCTTATGAATGATAAAAAGACTATTAATCTAGTCTTCATTTGCCATAGCTCGAAACAGCTAGAGAGACAGTCAGTTCCCTAAGTCGCACAGCATACATTCTTGCAACAGTACTTGATTGTACATTACGAATTCCGAAACCAACAGAAAATGTGATGCATATGTGTAGGATTGCATCATGTATGGCACAATAACACTGTGTTTCATCCGGAATAACTTTTAGCAGAAACTAAAGATTATCCTATGTACCTTGTGCCAGTGCTTCCTTCTATTCTAACTATTCTGATCCTTTATAGAGCAATGCAACTGAGTGACCGTATGGAATAAGCAGACGGTCGGCGATGAGCCGTACTTACTATGGGTGCAGCAGATTTAAAATATATAGCCAAATGCTTGAAAGTCCAGTGCCTACACTAACTAAGGAGCCACAGATCCACCAATTCTTGGCAATGCAATTACAATGTGTGAAGAATTCATCAGTGCTGATTATCGACTGTACTGTTTTCTCAAAATATGAACCCGAGAAAACAAGGCAGGCTTTAGACGCAACCGCGGGTGTATCGACCAAATATACACACCCCGCCATGTTCTGGAACACAGGTACGCTCACAGACGCCCAACGATAGCTGTATTTCTCGGCCTGAAGGCGGCATTCGACTCCGTTGACCGAGAAGTCTCATGGCAATGTCTCTCACAGAAAAGGCGTGCTCAGTAAGTACATCACCTTATTGAAGGCTCTCTACTCGAACACTTGTGGGTGTGTTAGAGCCTATGGTGAGATATCCGGGAAGCTGTGCTCGTTGAGTGGTGTGCGTCAAGGATGCCCACTCTCTCCATTATTATTTAATTTTATCATAGATATTCTTATGGAGATCTCCCCTCTCGTCAACTGACTACACGGAGGTCAACTTAATCGTGGGAGGATTTTCGTTGGACCTAGAATACGCAGATAATAAAGTCCTGTTAGGTGAAGACGCTGACAAGATGAAGAGTCTTCTGAGCACTGAGTTGGAATTTGAGAATGTTTGGGATGAGGTTCTCACCACCCAAGTGCAAATTGTTGCTCCATGATTGCTTTTCACCGATGCCACGACTAACAATAGAGTGTAGCGGTTGAATGTGTCGACCACTTCACTTACCTGGGAAGTAGGACCAGCCCTGGTGGACCAGTGACCGACGAAATTTCTGCATGAATACAAAAGGCCCGGCTGGCTTTTACCAATTTACGCCACCTGTGGCGCCGCCGTGATATCCGATTGTCTATTAACGGTCACCGTGTACTGCACCTGCACAGCAGTCAGCTCCGTTCTCCTGTATGGCTGTGAAACATGGCCATTAAAGGTGGAAGACATGAGAAGGCTGGCTTCAGGTGTTTGACCACCATTGCCTTCGTAGTATGGGCCATATTCTGTGGTGTCACCCATGTGAGTGAGTAATGCACAAGTCAGGTGTAGAGTTTTAGAGAGAAGAGGTAAGTAAGTTGACACGGTTGTGAACCTTCATCGACTGAGATGGTTGGAGCACGTTCTAAGTATGCCTAGTCGCCGTCTGCCTTGTCACACAATGTTGGTCGAAGTAGGTTCACACTGGAAAACGGTTTGGGTCGGCCAGACTAAGGCATGGGATCAGTGAGTGAAGTGTCTGACTGTTGGTTTGAGCCATGTGAGTGGGGAGATGCAGACTAGGTGGTTGGGGTCGGCGAGACAAGAGAAACCAGTGGTTGGAGACTGTAGGTGATATGACTCAGAACGGATGTCAGTGGCGCAGATGTATCCTCATACACATTATCCTCATCTTAACGATGCTATACCGAATGTCACCACTTTCTCATTCTTCGTTTCTCTCTTTTTGTACTTAATATTTCTTTTGACTGAATTTTCTTTTCTTCATTTTCCACTTCACTGCTGTTTTACTTGATGTGCTGATATGAGCTGTGGTAAGTCGGACCGTTAAGCAGTAATGCCTGGTCCAATGTTGATTTGGATGGATGGATGGACATATGACCCTATAATCTACTACTAACGATTTCAGTTAACGATGCATTGATCTCGGCCTCTTATAACTATCTTGTCTACTACATCTTTAAGCTCTCATTATACGAAACTCACACCAAATCTGAAAAAACTTACTAGTGAAAAATGTAACAGTAGTCTTCAAACAATAGGCCTTTCTTACTACCTACTGAAAGAACATATACATCGTTATTAAGTGCATTACAATTTTCGATTCAACACAAACGAGAGGATGATTTCTGCTAAGCACTGATCATTTTTTCAAAGTGTGCAGGTGTAATCTTAATGAATAGCTATGTACACCCTTATGAAGTATTTTCCACAACTCCAGCCAAGCAAACCTGTAAAGGTGACGGATTACAACAAATTTGTTCAAATGGTCACTTTTACCTGGCAAGTATCAATATAGGGTAGGAATTATTTAATATAATCATGCTCTTCTCAACCCCCAGAGTGGTTACAGATACACTATCTTGCTATGCAGTTATCACTGGAGAAGTTAAGTAAATAATATTGTTGCTTCTTTTAGACTGGAAACTATCCGTTCAAGCACGTGTGACTGAGTCTAAATAGACGCAACAAAACTATACATCGGAGACACTTGTGACTTTAGTTTCGAAGTGTAAATATCAAGACTACATTTAATTAGGAACCGAATAAATAGTTAATGAGATATATCAAAGTTATTAATTATCCCGAGTAAGCCTACAAACATAGGAGATTTAAAAATTGTAACGGATGTTTAGAAAGTTTTTAAGACACACGGATTTTAACATCTGTATATATTAATGGATGTATTACAAAGCATTTCTTAAAATGAGGAGTGGAGGCAACTTGAGTATAGGTTGGAAATAAGTCTATGCAGAGATAGCAAACAGTGGTGGTTAGCGAAATCTGGTCCCTTGGGTTCCTAGTGGAACATACCACCTCAGTAGCACATCACCATCCTACTTTCCAGTTCTCTGCAATCTTTTCAACCTCGCTCCACCACTGCCCACAAGACCTCATTTCTTCCTCAAATGATTTCCTCCACATCACCCTCACCTCGGACGCCCAACTCGTCGTTTCCCACCTGGATTCCACTAGACGGCCTGGCGCGTAATGTCCACAGTCGGCCTTCTCAGTGTATGCCCAATCAATATCCACTTCCTTCCAGCGCATATTTGTTGAGCGATAGGCTCTTGGTTGGTTCGTTGCCAGCCAGAGTTTCTTGTTGCCTATTCTTTCTGGCCATCCATCTGAGCTTCAGTATTGAGCCAGCGTAGTCAGCAGCTGTTGATGAATGTCTGCAGTTTGTTGGAAATGCTTTATGGAACGCGTCAAGTCTCCCAAACATCACATACAAGCACTGACTTACTTGACTAGATTGGTGTTGAAAATCCGGATGTTGTTCACGCTTTATGCTGAGTGCAGTGCAGTGCAGAAGATCTACACACTAACTTCAGATTCATGAAAGCCCGTCTTGCTGTCTTTCCGATCCTGGTTGGCTTTGACTTCCTCGTCTGTGCCGCTGCCTGTAGTTGGAACGATGCTGCATTGCCTAGGTAGGTGAAAGAGGCAACTTCCTTTAAGTTTCTCCCATTGATGGTGATTGGAGCTTGTTGTTGTTGTTGTTGGTTGGGTATCTTCATCACCTCTGTCTTCTCTACGTTCACTTGAAGTCCCGTCTTCTCTGTCTTGCCTCTTCTGTCAACTTGTTAGTTTTTAAGTTGTAAGTTTGTGTGACATTAGACACCAAGAAGACGGTAATGTTAGGTAAAATTTCTTTACACCAATAAAGAATAAAGATTTGTGACACATGAAAACCACATCAGATCTGCAACCCACTGAAGTGAAGAGTAGTATAACACTTTGAAGAACATTTAACTTGCCATCTAGCTACTCATCTATAGTCTACCATTCAGTCCCAACCTGAATCAAACGTTGAGAAATAGGGTTTTAGATAAACAGAGAGTGGTGAGTTTGGATAGACCATAATAAGTACTTGAGCACAGGATTATTGACCATAACGACATATTAGTATGACAGCCAGATATGATTTTCTCTGAGATCTAAAATGTTGATTGCGCTGATCTTTACTACAGGAAAAAAGCTAGCTTGTGATGGA